ATCATCGCGTGCTCTACCATAATTCATGTTAATTGTTTCACTGTCAGTGTCAATCTGTTGTCAGTAAAAGATAAATGTAGTGTATAAGGCGGCAATGAGGATTAATTAAAAGAGTGAGCTATACATATAACATGTAAGATTGTAAGAAAAAATGTAGATAACGCTTTTTGCGAGTTTCTAAGCAGGTTGGAAATAACTTTCCGTACTTTTTTATGCGGTAAACTTTCAAAATATTAAAAACAACATTTGAAAATATTCCATGAAACTAGCACTCCATGTAAGTGTAACGTCTATTACAAGTAGAATTACAATCACCTCTTCTTCCTCTGATTCTGAAATTGACAATATTGTTGATACTGCCTGTGCCTGGTTCACATCGTCATAAGACACCGTTGTATTATACTCATCACCTCTTTCGTCATTATATATGTTATGAACTGCCGTTTCATGATGATCAAATTGAAGGACTGATTCTCCGTGCATCAATACTTCATTTTCATCACTTGAACTTCCTGTGTATAATGACGATATTCAAATTTATAATGACAAAATTTAGTTATATTCTTATAAGTTCGGAAGAAAATTTCCTAATTCTTGTTTAAACTTTATTTACTTTGAAATACATCCTCCTGGTGTTCTAAAACTGTATCACTGAATGACTCTTCGGACTGGCGATTAGTGTTGTCGGTAACTGTAGCTACTGGAACTGGAAGTAACTCTTTCTGAAATTAACAACAGATTGTAATCTAACGATGGCATCAAATTCAATCGGTGAACAAGAACTTTAAGTTAGTGCGGACGCGCGGTAGTCAGGTAGTGTCTTTTAAAATTTAAGGTAGTTCCCGTTAAAACCATAGCGGCATCAGCCATAAGGGAATTTATTCTTACCTTGCCATATATATTGTTGCAAAATTGAAGCGTTGTTTGAGCCAGTTCAACCACAACTTTTGAGGTGCCGTGACCCTTGTGTTTGTTTGAGTTATGCGTCTCAAAATGATCGCTGTTCATTTCTTTCCCACATTTATTGCATTTGACTTTACATCTGTACTGCCTTTTCCGTTGAGTTTTTAGCTTTTTTTGAGGAGGGTTTGGTGTAACGTCTTTGTCTTATCGAAACAAGATCGAAAAACTCGAAAGGCAAAATCAAATCGGGCACTTTACAAATTACAAATTACAATTTGCAAACATTCCACAGTGATATTATAATTGATATTAAAATTATAGATTATAACATACCATCCATTTCATTTGCATATTATGCCGGATACACGTTAGCACGTCGTGAGCTGTGAGCAGATATTTAAAACATAACAACGCGTCACAAAAAGCACTAAACCGTGAATAAACTCTCACATTTTCGTCTCGTTTGCATAACAATTACACATTTACACGTTTTCGATATTGAGCCCGCGGTATCATCGTCAAGGTTTATATAGTACTTCATTTCTTGCATTTCTTGATTAAAATGCATGATCCAAACACGCTAAGAACAATGCTAAAAACAAAACTCGGTCGTCGGTCAATCTTCAAATTCTGCAATACGGTTTTTTCGTTGTTTACCTACAGTAAAGCAAGGTAACCTTGCCCAACAAATAGCACGTGCTTTG